TTACAGATGTTTGCTACCATTTGTTTTGTATGTGCTAGAAAAGAAGGTGGAAGGTATATAGCAAATATGTAGAGTTCAGGGGGATTAAAGTGTTGAATCCTTGTCTTTATGCCTCATTTTCTCAATTTTTTGGAATTTTATTCCTTACTTTTACATTTGGTGCTGTGCTATGGCCTGGCATTGACAGATGAAAGAGAATCAGAGAAAAGTATCAGAGAAAAGTCTCGGTTTGTGTCTTCAATGAGATAGTCTTAATAAGAGAGAGGACTATGGTGTTTTGATGGATTTGTTTGAAAGACCATGATTGTTCAGTTGATTCAGCCCCATGTCTTGTGCTCAGGGTCCTGCCCATGGGTTTGAATTGTGTCAGGTCTGGTTGGTCACATTTTGACTTGTTACAACACCAACAGACAACCTCACAAAGAGAAACTACAGTCAGACCTTGTTATCTCAAACTTGATTGGACTAATTAAGAAACAAATTTTTCTAAGGATTCAAGATATCAAGAGTAAAAAGAATAAGTAAAATGTAGTTGATAGTTCCAAGTCTTTTTGATATATCCATGGTATCTGATAAATCAGTGTTCAGGATACCCAAGTTAATTCAAATGCACCTTATTAATAATGTCAAATTGTATGATATTATATGTGAAGGAGACTGTAAACCCTTGATAGGTTCAGTGGGACATACACTGAATACTGAATATATATCACTTGAACTTATATGGTATGATACATGTAATAAGGTTATGTTGCAACCATACACATTTAATTTAGATTCAAGATTATTAGAAATGTTCAAATTATGGCCAGCCAGGGATAGGATGGGAACACTGATTTGAAAATTACAAGGGGTATGAAGTGAGCATTGTGGTAGATGGGCCTCTTGGAAGTGCTTAAAATTTATTTCTAAGTAATAACAATAGTGATCCAGATCAATTATTGGAACAGATTCATTGTAAAGTTTATAGAAGCTCTTTGGTGATCAGACTTGCATGTATGCATCTAAGGATGCACACTACCAAACATATTTTTGTATGATGAAGATACATGTAGTCAACAGATGAAAGGTTTTGGAGCAGGTCCACTCCAAAAAAACCCTAAGCCCATTTTTGACCAAAGCTGCATAGATTCTTGATTCTTAACTACCGGTAACTTTAATTAAGCTGTACCTAAATGCATGATGCAAGTAGAGAAGCAAATTAACAGACATGCTTTGGATGCTGGATCTGTCCTATTCTTTTGGGTTGAAAGATCAAACTGACGTTTTTGGAGCAGGTTCATTCTTATGTAACTTTAAAACCTATGTGACCATTGGACTTGCATGGATGGAGTGTGCAGGGATGCACACCACCTGACTTGTTTCTAAAGTTAGATCTGACCCATATTTAATTAAATAATGAGCAGATAAAGTTTTATGAGCAAGTCCATTCCCAAATAAGTCCCGGTACAATCAAATCTCATTATCAGTCCTAACATATTAAGACTGAGAAAAAAAAATCAAAGATTTGAAATATTCAGAGTATAAAATAATGGTTTGGGGCTTCCAAATTATTTGACATATCTAGAGTATTTGAGATACTGAAGTTGGAGATATTCAGGTTCAACTGTATTAAAGGCACTCTGGTGACTACACTTGCATTGATGTAGCTGCAGATCTGTAGCTCTCCGGAAAAAAAATATTGATGGACCGGAGAGCTACAGAGCCACCCATTGAAATAGTAGTAACTAGCTAGTTACTATTATTCTTGATTAATTCTTCCAAATTCTTATCTCAACTGCAAAAATTGGAAGATTTCAAAGATTTCCTCTCTCCTCTATCATTGAGTTCTCTCATAGTTGACATTTGAACGAAGCATATTGGACCGAATTATCTTTGAAACCAAAATGGCAGTATAAATAAGCAAAATGTTCGATGATTGCAATATCAGGGCCAGGAGGACAATTAACAATAATTATGAGGAATGTTTTGTTGTGGAAAGAGTCAAAGAATATGTTAGGAACACACGGTTAGTAATAATTTGAGATTACAGTTTTAAAAACATGGAGAAATAAATCGAGAACCGAGTGCATTTTTTTGTGCGCAATAAATATACAGTTTTTTTCAATGGGTGGCTCTCCGGTCTATCAATATTTTTTTTTTCGGAGAGCTACAGATCTGCAGCTAGCATTGATGATACAGTACTTATTGCAAGCTATAAGACTAGCCTTAGATTGATAGATCTGACCTATTTTTGCTTTGGATTCTGGATATGATCTACATTTTCTGGATAATTGATCAGATTGAAGTTTCATTACCAGATTACTATGAGCCTAAATTATAAGCTAACCAGAAGCATGGGAGATGCATCTAGGGATGAACACCACTATAAACTTGCTTCATGTATAAAATTTAAATGCTAACATTTTTCAGCTGATTCAACTAAAAAAAAGTTTTTGGAGTGATTAAATCATTTCAAAGTACTTGAAACTAAAAATTCTACCCAGACCAAAATTGCATAATTGTTGCATCTGTGGATGCAGTGTACTCTAATGGAATACTGTAGATATGCATTTTGAATAATTGAAATTTAGAGCAGACTTCCTCATATACTGTTTAGATAATCATGAATTAGTGCATATGGAGCCAGGCTTCTTTATGCATTTGTGTTTATTTTATAATAGTATATACTTGAATTAGCTGAAAGGAAGTACATGTAGTGGAAAGTGCTATAAATATGATCATTGCTGCTAAATTAAGTATAATGTAAAAATAAAAATATGTTATTTGGTTAAGCTTTTCTTTCTTAATATATAAAAACATATTTTGAGGTGAGCTGTGTTGTTTGATTGCTTATCTTTGGAACAGTATTTTCAGTCAAGGTTCTTTTTAATCAGTTGCACCCCAATCAAGATCAGTATATTAAATTGTTAGTGGATTTAGTTGATGCAAAAAAAATGTTAAACTTGCATACTAGTACTAGTTTATTGTCCCCGGCTTTCACAGAAAGTGAAGGATATTAATTTTGGTCTGTCCATACTTCCATCTATTAGTATCACCTTCATTTCAAGAATTTTGCAATGAAAATTTACACAACTCCCTGTAGGTCAATTAAGGAAGACCCCTATTGATTTTGAGGTCAAAAGATCAAGGTAAATTCTGCCTGTTTTTAAACTTGAATTTCAGCATGATATTTTGAGGTTAAAAGATCAAAGGTCAAGGTCATAAATGCATATATTCTGTTTGTGATCGAAACTTTCATTTCTAAGCAATATTTCAATAAACGTTTGAGATTTTTTGCAATAAAATTTTATACCATAACTCCCTACCGTCCCACTCACTCCTCTAAAGTGAAGCCCCTCCCAGCCACCCTTATGCTCTAGATCTGCACAAGCTCTTCTTTTTTCTGAAGGGGGGGGGGGACACAGATTTTCTAAATCTGTGTGTTTACTCTATCATGGCTTGCATATTGTTGTTTGAAAATTCTTTGTACAACTTTCATGTCATCTGGAAATAATACTGTAAACCAACTTTTATTCACGACGACTTTATTTCGCGATTTACTGGGGGTAAACTACTTCACAACGATTAATTTTCGCGAGCAGGTCTTTTTGGATCTGTTTTTAATAGTCCCAGAGGCTTTAAGGACCGCTTCGCGGCAAGAAATATTCGCGATGACGAGGCTTTTGCGAACTTCGCGAATATTTCTCGCACACGAATAAAAGTTGGTTTACAGTAACTGAAATGTTGCAGTGGTAAGAGCATCTGCTCCAGAGTCACGAGGTAAGGAGTTGATTCCTATGTCACAGGTTCGAATCCCACTGTGGGACATAGAGACAGGTCCTTTGGATGAGACCATGTAAACTGAAGTCCCGATTCGCAGTAGGTGCTGGCTTGAAAAAGATCCCTCCCTGCTCAATGGCTCTGAATGCCGAGCATAGGACAAAACTTGTAACTTTCCAATGGCAAGTGTTGGCGTCTCCATATGAGTGTAAAATTCTTGAGAGGGATGTTAAACAACAAACAAACAAAATAATGACTGAAATAGTTGGTATACTGTAGATTCCTAAATATACGTGAGGAACTAATTATCATGTGATTTTGCAAGAAGCACCACTCACATAATAAAATCATCCCCTTTTATATGCTGAAATCAATGTTAATTTAAAATCTCTTGATCAACCATCCACTCGCGAATTATTGTTCTCACGATTTGATGTTAAAGATCCATTTTGCGATAATAACTACTCTTGAAAAATAAAGAATCTTAATTAGTAATGTTTAACAAAAATCATTTTGGGCTGGATGTGAAAAAATTTAAAGGTTTATATAATACAGTCAATGGTATGATATTGGATTTAAAGAATATAACCATGAGTTAGATTTTTAATTGGAGGCTTTCATAAAATACAGGATTGAAATTACAAAGTATTTAGAAATATAAATTAAAGTTTTAAAAATGAATGCCTCAAAGACCCTTTAAAATATGACTTTACCAATTCTTTCAGTATTTTGTTGCTTTAATTTGATTTGTTTTGGTCATTGAAAATTTTTATTGGTCTATTTTTCTTCTTTCACTATCATTTTTATCTTCTTTGCAGTTCTGATTAGATGATTCTCAACCTGTGATCCCACTTTTACCTGTTAATCATACTTAATGATATTTTTTCTTTCATCTATTATCTCTTTCAACTTTACAATCATATTTTGTTCATGTTCAAAGCTTAAATTCTTCACAGAATCTGTAAATTTTCATATACAATTGTAATTATTTTCTCCATACCTTTAGTGGGAAGGAAATCCATCACAATTCTTTTCTCATACACAATGGATTATCCTCGGAGTTATTTCCCCTGATCCTATTATCATCTCTTTAAATTGCTGTGCAAGTTTTTTCTTAGTCAAAGCTAATAAAGTCCTAAAAAGGAACAACTCGTTTATTTAGCCTGTTTTTCAATCCAACTTTTTATAATGAAAATATATTTAAAGTCTACTCAACAATGTTATCAAACTTTCCCTTGGTCATTTAAATAAACATTTATCACCAAAATGTCATTTTCTCCAATGGGTACTCAGAGTTCCTTTTCACCCAAAAGCTGTAAAATATCCTTAGCTTACCAACAAATCTATAAAAGTCTGCACTTGGGGTGTGAGTTAGTTCAATTTATTTTTTTTTCTTTTGAGATTTTTACATCACTTTATATGGGCAAACATTCAGTGGTTTCTATGCATCAGCACATTGCCCTGTTCATTTCAACCCTCCACTCTATAACAGAGAAACGCTTCAAAAGACCGTAACAATCAATTCGCTGGATTTATTTATCTTTGAGCCTTGTTAAAATGAATACACAATGAAAAAATTAAGTAATTGATAGCAATAGTTTAAAAGACGTTGGATGCTTTTGGTTGTTGCTCATGCCATTGTCAATTTAAAATTAAAAAGACGACTGGTTACTTAAACTTACTGGGTGTGTAGAAAAGACAAAGTTTGATCAAAGGAAGTGTGAAGGGGAACAGTGATTTCGTTAGCGAGGAATTGTCTGGTTCAGTGTTTGTCTTTCTGTCTGTGACAAGTGACAGTTGTTCGTGATGGATTTGGATGACCTAGGGAGCACAAAAGTCGGATCCGATATGGACGTGGTGGTAATATACGCCGGATTTTGTCGAAATGAAATTTAATGCTGATTGTGCTTATATAATTCCACCTTAAATCCTAGCTGTCTTGGGTTGTCATTTTTTGTTTTTGATGATAATCTTAAGGTTAGTCTGTTTATTCTGTCTGTCCAAACACTAATGGGTAAAATATTAAGGTGACACTTGCTTTTAGTTTATTATTGAACATCCCTATCTTCTGTCTTTTTCAGGTTACTGTAGACATACTTTGTTCCACAGGGTAATAATTCCTTGGAATCTCAATTTCTGTTTAATCCGCTGGTAGAAAATTACGCGAATTTTCTAGATTCTCACTTTATGCCTTACATTTATATTAAGTGCACTCGGACCACGTTCATAGCGTAAATTAATACCACATGGAAAAAAGTACTTCTACAGTAATTAAAAAATCTACTGCAATTGTATATTTATCTGATATACCGTAAGCAAATATTGTTGATTTAGAGGTCATATTATTAAATGATACATGAACCTACATAATTATTTTTTACACAGGACGCGGTGAAGATGAACCAGTTGCAGAATTTGTTACACGATTCTTTGATAGCGACAGACCACGTCCATCACTGTGCCATCATACGACGGAAGGACTGCAATGTCAGAGCAAGCTCTGTAGGATTTAATGTAAGTTAAAGTATAAACATATCACATGGAGCACCAGGTATATTTGTCATAAGCCACTCAGTGGTTTTCAAGCTTTGTTCATCGTTCACTTTCTGGTAATGAAGAAATCTCGTATTTAATGTTGCTTAGAATTTGTGTCTTTACTTTTGAGGCCTAATCGGTCAGAAGACAACCTCTTGCTGAATGAGAGATTATAAATTTTCAGATATCAAATTATAAAAAGCTCTTGTCAGACGCTTGAAAAAAAGTTATTCAAAGCATGAACACCTTTAAATCAAACCAATTTCTTTTCTCTAGCTCCACCATGACCAGGTGCAGATGTTACTAGATGCCTTTAAAAACCCTCCACAGACCCGGGAAGAAGGTCTTTATTTTGATGACCAGCAATACAAATGTGTTCGTGCTGACAAAAACTCCATATATGGAAAATGTGTAAGTTACTGTGTCACTCCAGAGAGAAACTGAAATTTGCTTGTATTGGAATAACGTTCAACATAAGTTTACATGTGAAGTGGCTAAGGCCATGGGTGTTGGCTTGGATAGCTCAGTTGGTAGAGCACTAGATTATTGATGCGGGGGTCAAAGGTTTGATTCCCATTCCATCCATACATTTTCTCCTTTCGAAATTCATGAAATATATGGAAATAACAAACAGCATTCAAGCTCAAAAATCCATTCAAACAATACAAATCAGGAGCAGAGCAAACATGGACCCCTAAAATATCAGAGGTGGGATCAGGTGCCATGGAGGAGTGAACACCACCCCTGGACTTCCAGGGCCCTGCTTCATGTAATGGCACATAAAAACAGTTGTCTTTTCACGGGCGATTTTAAGAGGGAGGAATGCAGTGGTTTGGGCAGTTGATACAGCCTGGGTAACTCAGTTGGTAGAGCACCTGACTATTGTTATACAGTGGTCCCTGATTTCACTGTGATTCCCAGTCCGGCGTTACATTTTCTCTTTTACTGTTATGCTTCTCCTTTATTATTATGTATATTCATAAATATTTACTTCCACTGAATATTTTTCCTTATTTCTTCTGAAAACTTGATTGTCAATTTGTCTGAAACAATTTGTGGAGCCATCTGTGTGATAGATTTTTCAAAGGTCAATTTTTTCATTGTTCTTCCTTTAATAGACTAGTAATGTATGGATTAAAAATTGATTCTTTTGTATTCTTCCACTCTCCTTATCTGAATAATCTATATAGATATAGACAGTAAAATGCTTTCTTTGTTTATATAAGGGGATGAACAGTTGCAATCATTGCAGAAAAAAAAACTGTTGCAACCATTCAACCACATAAAACAAAGACAGCAATCACAGTATATCTTATTGTTTAAATAACTTCATCCTCAGGCCATGTAAATTGTATATGTAAAAAGCTCTATGTAAATGAATATGTAATACTGAAATCAATTTCATTTTCCTTATAGCCATTAAAAGCACTGAACTTGACCCAAAAAAATTATTGCAGTATAGAAACTAGTTTTAGTTTCTTAAATTATTGGGAACGAAATTTTTTTCAGAAAGTTCTCAAAAAATATCTGTTGTTTTGGACAGCAAACTGATTTGAGTTAAATAATCACTGTATAGGAAAATGACATTGTCAGCCAAGGAACAGTTGAGGTTTTTAGTGGTATAAATGGTCCGAGTTTAACCCTGAACTACATGCATTATATTAAATGATGATTGATATTTCAGGATAAGCGAGGATTAATCCTTGTGAAGACACAGTCTATGTTAATAGTAGCCACATACACAGAAAACATGTTCCCCAGTGTTTGTGTGGAAGCAGTAGAAAAACTAGGTAACATTCTCAAGTTTTCATACATTTCTTCATTTAGTAAACAGATTTCAGAATCATTGACATATATTTTGAATTACAGAACCTATTTGTTTTTATGTTCTTAAAAAGTTTTCAAAAATTGTTTGATATTTCCATTCAAACGGACCTGATATTGAGTTATCTCCCTTATCATGCTGATACTGAATTCAATTCTTTTTCAGCGGACTATTTCAAAGAAAAAGGAAAATAGCCTCTTCATCCAACATATATGCACTCATGTTATACTGTGATATCAAAATGATGGACATGTTTACAATTTACATTTATATTTACACTTTTTTCTTATCAATTTATATTTTCTGTTGTGTATGCGATTTATCATCATTAAAGATTGCATTTAAGTCAAAAAAAAAGTTTGCAATTATTTCTTAAAATTACAATTGGGCATCTACCACATATGCAGTAAAATCTGTCTCTTACATATTGAAAGCCAGAAAACAGATATCCAAAGATTCAAGATATCCAAGGTATAACGTGGCAGGCACTGCCGTATCACTTTGCCATATTTTATCCAAATATCATGTACCAGGAATAGGTATAGCAAACTTTTCAAGAAGTTGCAGATTTTTTAATTTAAAATGCTACCATGTATTAAAATTCAGCAAATATTGTCAAATCTACAAAATGCAAGGTTTTTATACTAATTCAGCATTACCAAGAAAACGAAAGTTATCCAACTCTTGACCAGTAGATTTGGAAATGATGATTTGTTCTTCCAAAAAAAAAATAATTAAAAATTCAGCCCATTTTCTAAATAAACTGTCAGGTACATCTCAAGTAAGATAAGTTTAATTGTTGGTATAACATCAGTATGTAGGAAATCACAATACACTCAAATCAATTATGTAACCAACACTTCAAATGCAGGATTTCTCACATTTCTAGATAACATTATACTCATATATACAATTTCATACCACTTGTTATAAAAGCAATTTTCACTCTAACTTCCAGATGGTTCTGGACATAGATATTTTTTTATTTATCAGACAATAAGGACCTGAACATGATAAACAACAGGAACTCAAAGTATCCAGAATTAAATTTTGCCATAATCCCTCAAGGTCATGATCAACAAGGGAACTAAAAAGAAGGCAATTGAAAATGAACACCACTACTTTGAGAGAGGAGATAAAATTTCATGGCACAGCATGGGACTGCTTCCAGTTTCTAGAAGTGGTATAAAAGCTCTCTAACAGCAATTAAAACTCCTCTAAAGCTGAATAATAGCAAGAGATCTATTTAAAAGTTTTGGTAGCTTCCTAAATTAATATTTACATTTCCAATGTCTTTGTCCGAGATAAAATTACCAAATGTAAATGTACCCAGTACTTTATTTCCCCATCAATGTATTGGCGCGGTTCAAAAAAAAAACACGTGCAGGGCGCAGGACAAACAGCTAGACAGAAGCAAGGTTTGGAGCACGTGGATTGGCGGAATCAAAGCATGTAAATATAAGGAATAACTGTCAGATTTTTCAATTTCATGAAGATGATCAATCGTTTGGCTTGCGTGATAATTTTATGCATTAACGCCGAAGGCGTTTATGCAAGTTATCATGCAAGCCAATCGATTGATCACTTCATGAAATCGAAAAAAAAAGACAGTTACTCCTTAAGTAAATCTTAACACTTTTGAATCCTTCACTCTCAGTGTGCAAGGAAAACATAACATATGAATCTGTATAATACATTTATTATAACCTTGTATACATGTATTAACAATATGTACGAAGCACACAAAATCATTTACAATAGTCATACAATTTTTTGCTGATTAATTTATTAATTTCAGTTCAGCAGACTAGAACTTGTTCTTAACTAAAACGATTTTGGCTTCAATCAAGGACAAAATCTGCAACCTCGAAACAATGCGTCCTACAGATTCTGTTCTTGCAATCAGCCCAAAATCCTGTCTTGATGCTGAACATTTTTAATTAAAGATTCATCATTTTACAAAATCATAGTCATACAATCATTGTTGAATTAGTCACCTTTAAATGGATATGATTGAATTCATTTAAAAAATAATTACTGTAAGTGTACAAGTTGATTAAATAACTAAATACATCAACCTTTACAAAAAGTCTATGGCAAGTTTGCAAGAGTTTATACAATTTTTGTGACAAAAATGGAAAAAAATTATACCATAGTAATAACATTATGAATAATAGTTTGCGATATCAATCCTAGCATTTTATATAAGAGGTATACATAAATCTTTGGTGACACAGCTCTGTGCTATAAATCAACGAAAAGGCACAATGATTGGATATGTTTCAAATTTGACTAAATTGTTTACTTCATAAAAAATATTCTAGGTTAACATGATTTATATCACAAGTAAGAGGTTATAAGAATAGAAACAAGTCATTAAATGTCTTAATTATGATAGATTATTAGCTTTACAGGATATTTTTTTAAAAAAAATGACCAGAAGTTGACAAAGACAAGCAAAATAAACAAACAACGTTGCAGAGTAAATAGTAATAACATAGCTGACAAACTTAACAGAATATTCATAACTGCCTTGCATTGACCACCCAACAAATTTCTATATAAAAATATACAATTCACTATGCAGGAAAGTGTCCCATTAAAAATAATAAAATCATTTTTACAGCATACAACTTTCTTTTTTTTTTTGCTTAAATAAGAGCAAACAAATTCAACCTGTGATACAAAAATACACAATCATGATGCATAAATGTGAATTTATAGCAAAAATACACAATCATGATGCATACATGTGAATTTAGAGCAAATATAAATAAAATTCTTTTTTTCTCTTCTTTAACACAACACAATTACTTTTAAATGTGCCACGTAATCCCCAGGAATGGCTTTACATGCAAAAGCTTCCTGATTGGTCAGTTACATTTTTTTTGTTGTTTTGCATCATATATATAAGGGAATGTCCCAAACATCTAGCACTTTACCTGTCACCATCTCCAACTTGCATACGGCTAGAAGTTTGAAACCATCCGTAATAATTAATGCACCATGCAGATATACATGTTCTATATCACATAAGGAGTGTCCCTTTATTCCCCTCCGTCGTCCATTCCATTAGATCCCTCCCCCTCACCGCCCCCGTTGACCGTTGTTGTGGGGACACGTTTTGGGACAGTCATTGTATATGTCTGTTTCTGTAATGTGGGTCGTCCCTTGATGCCTTTCCCTGCGGCTCTCATCTCGTAATGTTTGACGATGTCCTGATCTGAGGGGAGAGTGGCACTGAATGCTGTGGTCTGGTATCCACGCTCCAGGTAATCCCAAATGGCTGTCAACTCCTCAGGGATTTTAAAGTCCCGGTATTGCTGTGGAGCAAAAAATAAATTCTGTCTAAGTAAATGCACTTTACTTTTCTTGTAAAAAATGGAAATAACTATCACTATTTTACTTTCAGTATTTTCTGTGCAAATACACTGGGTGAAACATCCAAATTCAATAGGATACTGAACATCAACATGCCATTTTAGTAACATGTTGACTAGTAAATTTCTAATTGCAAATTTTTTCAGCTTAAATAAGAGATGACACACACTTCCCAGTTAATGTAGAAAACAAGGAATTACATTCAATTTTTAAATCCACTTTTACCTACTTCCAGATGTAATATTTTAGAAATCATCAACACTGTTGTGCTGGTGTATTCACAAATAAACTAACCTCTCCAGCCATCCTTATGTGCTGTAGTTTTGGCAGTAAAACGCAGTCAGCATAAGCCAGTGTTGATCCTGTTAAGAATGGGGTCTCATTCATCTCCAAATGGCTATTCAAATTCCTTAGGTCGTGCAGTAACTTCTTTCCATCAGAACTAGGGTTTTGTAAGAATAAGTTGAAATTCTGGCAAAAGGAAAAGAAAACTATTAAATGTGTATATGGTATTATAGTTTGTTTTTTTCTTCAAATAAATAAAATTCCAGAATACCAACTTTTCCACTGTTTAACTCTGAACAGGAAAAGTATTCATTTGCTTCCTACCTTATATAAATCCTCGAATATTTTCAGACTAGCAATGTTGGCCTGTTGTGTTCGCTTCAGTTTAGGGCAGTTAAAATTTATACTCTCAAAGAATTTTTCCACATCATCGTAATTGTCATATACTATGCCAGTTATATCCTGACCATTGACGTTCTGCCCACTTGTTCCAATCACTACTGGGAATATTTTGCTTTGGACCTTGTCTTTGAAAGTCTGAGGTGGGTTATTTGCCTGAACTGTGAAAACTTTAAAGCTTGCATTCTTCTGTTCAGCTAGGAGATAGGCAATCATGAACCACTGCTGGCAGATCGGACAAGATCCTTTCATTTCTCCATCAATGCTTGAAGCCTGTGTGAAAAGAAAAAGGATGATGTGAAATCTCATGACACCCAACAAAAAAAATGCAGTTGATCCCATTAAAATATGAAGATTATTGCACAAATTATCGTAAAACATGTATAAATTTGTGTATGAAACTTTGGGGTTTTTAATTGTTTTTTTTTAAATCAAATTTATATAAGGTTTAAGTAGTAAGAATTCAATAATAACATTACAGACATGTACTGTGCAGTGTAAGTTTTTGCAGTATAAAAATATTTTAACAATCACAACACAGGCTGATCAGTGTAATTTGTTGATTTACCAACTAGCTGTTTGCTCAATTTAATACCCTTAACCTATTTACACATATACACCCCTGTATTGCTACTAAAACAATACATTTTCAGGGTGTAAAATAATTAATTAAAGCAAAACAGCCAAATTTTGATTAAAATGGCCACATGTGTTTCAACAAAGGGAGTTAAATCTTTAAGTCCTGATTAAAAAACAAATACGTTTTATGATCTCCATATTCAATATTCAGCTTGTTCAATGTAGATAAATTTATACTAATTTCACCTGCACCCTTTCAAAAGTTCGTTTTTAGCGATTCAAATGCAGAACATTAAAGTTGCCCAACTGACGCCGTCAACAAAATGAATAAATTGGGCGCACAGCCGAAAATGCGAAATGAAAGGGCAATTGTTTCGTGCAAAAACATCAACAAACCTTAATGTAGAGTTCAAATTTGGGTTTTGTGTCCTCCTCAGCATCTTCGGGCTCATAGAAAGGTTTCTCGTCACTCATTTTGACGATTTTTTGCTGAAATTCACAGAGAAAAATTCAACAATTTGTCCTCCCTATGACGAACTGCCTCGCCCAGAATTTTCACCGATTAACCGTACGCATGCGCATGGCGTTTAGTCACGTGTTCTTGTTTATAAGTGGGATTTTACAAACAGAAATAAACTCTATTCTTTTGTCGATTTTTTTAATTTATAAAACCATGCATTCTCATTCACTAGATACTGACGATGAAATTTCTACTCGTTTTTGCTTCCGTTTTATTTCCTTCATTGCATTCATATACATTTTGTTGATCTTGGACGACATAAATACATATATAGAAATTAAAAGATAATTTTGAGCTCAAAGACTTGGCCTTATAGCTTAAGTCCAAAATGAAATTATTTAATTATTTGCCGGAGGTACTTGGGTTAATAAAATAGTTTGTCAAAGCTCATGTTACAAGTAATTTCAACGTCACAGACATCGATGCGTCACAATGTTCATGACGTCACGATGTTGGTTATATTATGACATCATAATATTTGAACGTCACAATGTACAGAACTACGTCATAATAAATATACGTCACAATTCTCATACACGTTTTCGTTTCCAACGAAAGAAGACCTTGATGGTGCTGCTGTTGAGAATAGTTGTTATATACACTTATTTTCATGGAAAGATCAAAGGTATGGTTAAGGATTTCTTTTAAAAAGCAAATATATAGTGCTAATGCAAATCTATAGTGCTAATTTATTTGCCATAATAGCCGACGACATCTTGTACAACAACGCACACAGAGACATGCAGTACTGCACTGAAAATGGAAACATTGGGAGAGGGGACGTTTGCGTTGCTTACAAATTATTGTGAAGTGTTACATGTACAACAACTATATCAGCACATTAAACACCACTGAATTAAATTTTAAACTGTAGGGGTAAATTCTTAATAGAGAATTCCTCTCTATAAGGGAATGAAATGACTGTTTCACCATAAAGTGCTACTGAGCCCAACTTTTGTAATTTTTGGACGAATCCATACCGAGAACGAATCACTCACTGAGAAGAAATACTGCATATAAGAGACGGAAGGATCCTTTCTTTTGGAACACGATCTAGATGGAATATTTCATTATTTGTTTCGGAAAAAAAGTTTTTCGAGCATTGCCACTCTCTACTTATCACAGAATATCTAAAGCTGCAAGACTTTGCAACTGCCCTTACAAAAACAATTCCAGAAAAACTTTCTGTCGCAGTTCAAAAATCCAAGACACTACCGGTATACATAGACTACATGCATGCTACTGCAGGGGAATTCTTGAAGAGACGGTTGCTTATAGGTCATATACTTATATTCCACATTGCAAACAAGATACATATGTTGGGTATACCATTTAGTGCATATAACCATGCCTGGTTTGATATTTTTCGAATTGGTATAAATTAAAATGTAACCGCTCCCATGACTTGCCAGTGTTTTTTAGTCACTTTTAAGGCATAATTAGTTTGCACAATTAATTAAAGGTATTGTTTTGAATATATTTTATAGCATAATTCATGCAAAGGGATTGGTAATATAAAGTTCTTGCAACTTAGAAAAACTGTTCCCTGTGATATATCCAATAATAACACTGATATCGAACGAATTATTTCAATGCAAAATGCTATTTTGAATTAAAGGTATATTATCATACTGCACATACACTTTATATCCCTATAGAGAAAAAAATCAAAGCCTTTTCCTTTAATAAGCATTGAACTGGACAAAAACCTTCCCTCTTTGCTATATTTATCGGACTATAAATCAAACGCATATTATGTAATACGTCTGTCTGCATTTATATTTTTTTTAAGTTAAAGAAATGAACGAAACATTTAAATATCTTCTGGTGATATAGGTTTTCGGTATTTATTTTACAAAGGGTACAAAAAGGTTGATCATTGACAGTGTCTAGATATGTAGTTTTAATGACATAGATACCAGAAAATGTTTCCCTGTACATTTGTACATGTAGATGTCTATTGTCAGCTTTACGGATCACACTTGTAATCTTTACATATAAATTATTTTATACTAACAAAGAAGCATGAATATTTGGCTTTTTTATGACCCTGTAATCGAAGATTCGGGGGTTACAGTTTTTGCTTTGTACGTGTCTGTCCGTCTGTTTTACTCTTAAGGTGTTTGTTGACCATTTCACCTTGACCTTGGCCATATCTTTTGAACTTAAATGCTAGGTCTTCTGTATTTCACTTATATATTTTTAGTGATTAGACCCACCCTTGGATCATTTAGATTGCATGATCTTGCAGTTTGACTTTCTCGGTACGTTTGAAAACTTTAATCTTGCCTATAACTTCAGAACGCTTGGTGCCAGTACTTTCATATTTCACAGGTGTATTCCTTGTAAGAAGACTTACCCTTGAGTACCAACAATTGTGATCTTTTGACCTTGACCTACTTATGAAAAATTTTATCACTGGTAATTTGTGTCGTATGGCGTTATGGTGTTAGGACTATCATATTTCACATTTTTATTCCTTGTGAAAAGAGCTTTCCTTCAGTTTCATTATAATTTTGCCTCTGACCTTGAGATTGAGCTTGACGTTCTTAAAAAAAAAAAAAAAAAACTTTGACATTAATTGGTCATAACTTTTGAATTGATGGTGTTAGGGCTGTCATATTTCACAACTGCATTCCTTGTGACATATATAACTTTGAATACCAAAATTTTGTACCCTTGGACTTAGACTTGCATCTAAGAAACTTTAACCTTCATAATAAGCTGTCATACAGGGGCATCAGTGTTTCGCGAAGCCAACTTGATTGATTTTTTTTTTGTCTAAAAAAGTACAATCAGCATGTAGAAATGTGTGTTCTCCTGACTACTTATCAAGCGAAACTAAAATATAGGATACACTACTACATGTACGTACATCTGAAAATAAGGGGTTGTCTTAAAAATTGCACTGAGTTTACACTGATAAACCTATTTAAATTCTTATTCCAGAAATAGTTCCAAACATATCATTTTGACCAAAAGTAAAAACGATACCGAGAAATTCTTTTTTGTCACGTCACAGATTGAGAAACACCCGGTATATATATTCTCAGTAGGAGATTTCCAAGTTCAGTCATGTTAGCGGCCCTAACCTACACATCATTTAGGTCATTGGAATGCCCTCGGTAAAAGGTGTATGGAGGTTTGTGAATGGAGACGAGGTTATCTACGGAAGGTAGATAATCATTAAATATTGACACATCCCTCTAACTATTCTAGGGTCGCCGACATACCTATCATTACTACCTGGCGATTTACCAGATATAAGTAACTTCTCTAAAGATTTAAATGGCATCAACTTAACAATTTGTTAGAATGTCTTCTCAAAAACTTACAGAATATTCTAACACTTCTTTGAAGTGTCATTGCATGTTATTCAAGCCAAAGGCACACACTGAAAAGAAAATTTACTTCGATATGTATATTTGCTGCATTCCAATTAGATAGTTTACCTCAACAAGTGCGATTTTTTTTAGATTAATGTCCAATGAATTTCGTTTTGCACTAATTAGAATTACCTCTTTTTTTTTTTAAATCTCTCTCTTTTAATTTGATTCACAAATATGTAATTATCATAAATATATATTCAAATTCAATACCACGTAAGGTTGCCCGATATTTCCAGCAAAGTGATGGGGGAATGGTTAATTGAATTAGATCACAGGCACTTGAACATTATTTTTCTTATAAAAAATATACCCTACCCAATCAAACATAATTGTGATTGATAAGGCATGGGATATATGTATTTTTTTAATGTAAGAAAAATAAATAAGTTCAGGTGCCTGTGAATTATATACTCTTATACCTTAAATGATAGTCAATTTCATTGATTTATCTTTCAATGATATAGAAAACAAAGTACACTTCTTTTTATGAGGTAGCTCAATTGTGGTTTCCTTTTGATTCGTCCCTGGAAATAGATCCTATCCCTGTGAACCATAATTTTGCCACCCACCCCGTCCCCACACTGTAAAAGTCTTTCCAAACTATCCTTTGAAATAGTATGTTTTTTACTTCAAGTTTATAAATAAGTTTTAACAAAACAAGCAAGCGTTCATACAATCTATTCATCCACCACATATTTAAGTATGCATTTCCTTGCATTTGAATAATGTTTACTATATGTCCAGTAGATAAAAAAATTCAGCTTAAAACAGTGATCTTTTCCTGGAGAATTTCGACCCTTTTATGCAGGAATTAAGACATCGTCTCTGCATTACAAAGCTGGGCTTCATAAGATTCACAACATAAAAACAAGACCATTCTGGTATCCTGAAGGTGCTGTGGTATACTGATGTATCTGTTAATCTCTTAAAAATACCATCTTTGAGTTACATTTGTTGGTAAGATGATTAGAGCAATGTCGACCAAAATGAAGATTCGCCGAGGTTATACATCTCGTCATCTCGACATCAAGATAATGAACAGTATTCAAACTAAAAAGTCCATTAAACGGGTGGTTTAAGCAGAGCAAACACGGACATCCAAAACATCAGAGGTGGGATCAGGTACCATGAAGGAGTAAGCATCCCCTGCCGACCGATCACTCCGTGTTCCTTGTCACTCCTTGTTCTGATCGGGAATGAAGAATTTAACATCTTAGCCTTAAACGTTGACTCAACGTGATTCGAAACAAGTACATTTATTTGCGGTGAATTATTAAATATATATGTTAAAAGGTAATTATAAAGCTAGCTGCAACAGACGTTCTAAGTTCGACCCTATCCTATACCATATTAATTAATCGTTATGTACTTTCCGAATAGTTTCTGCATTCGTGCAATTTAGAATTAATTTCCGTTTCAGTTTGGAATCGAGTGGAACCAATGACCGTTCACATGTACCGCTATTCCTAACCCAGTAGAAACTAATCACGATACATGTACACGAATTGTCTGTTCTCCGAGTTTCAGACTACGATGTTCTACCATACTCTTGTCCGTGTCCTGAATTGTCCTATTTCATTCGAGGGATAAACATTTTAAAAACAATGGTGGGTGAAAACAATCCTCAGTTTTAACGATTCAGTTATACTAATTATCATCAAATTCAAGT